ATATTAATTAAATAAATTATGCACTAAAATGCCACATTATGTTATTTGAACAATAACTCAGATCAGAAATAAAAAGTCGAATTTTTTTTTGCGACTCAATTTTATTTTATTTTTTTTTAAAAACACGTACATCAAATTTTGTTTTCTTATAAATATTTCCAATGTCTGACTTCAACTTACCTGCTTCTTTAACTCTCGATTCCACTTCTTCAATATCTAATCCTATGTTTTTAGAAGTTCTCGATCCTGTTTCTTCAGAAATTCCCGATTCTATTTCTTCAATTTTTGATCTTCCAGAGGAAAACCTTTATAAAAGTTACTCAGAAAATGATCCTATCAATAATGTTATTAAAAACAATTAAAAAAAAAGACCATCACCTATTCATGATTATCTAGAGGTACTTGACGATGAAACCTGCGTTTGTGAAATATGTTCTAACATTCCTAACATTAAGAAACCCAGTCAATGGGGTCCAGGTACATCTTTGTCAATGATATCATGCTATTTCGAAAGCAAGCATCCAAGCTTCTATAAAGATTTTAAACAAATAATGTGAAAGTTACCCATTCTACATATTCAATGACTGATAAAGTTAGCAGAGATCGCATAAAATCTTTAAATCATGATCTATATCAATTAATAATTAAGAATCAATTTGCCTTCTCGATAGTTGATGAAGATCCTTTTATTAAATCTTGATCCACGATACAAGCTTCCATGCCGTCAAACAGTCTCTACAATTCTTAAAAATAAGTTTGAATCTATGAGAATAGAGATAAAACATATATTAAAATCAAATTGTAGCAAACTAGCACTTACCATCGATGTTTGGACGGCATGTAATAAACAACAATTCCTTGGTATTACTATTCACTAGGTCGATGCGGAGTGGGTAATGAAAACCCTTCTCCTTGATTTTATACCCTTGCATGACTCTCATACTGGCACGTATCTTAGTGAAAAAATACTTGAGGTCATAGAAGATCTAGAGATAAAAGATAAAATAATAGTAAGTACTATATTACACATAAAAACTTTAATATTTTAATATTAATCTATTTCATAATAGGGGTTCACTGGAGATAATGCTTCTAATAACCAAACATGCTTAAGTTATCTTAAAAATCATATCGGCCCAAATTTCACATATATACGGTATGCTGCACATATTTTGAATCTTGCGGTCAAGATGGCCAAAAATGTTATAACAAACAGATAAAAAAGATACAGTGTATCTGTAATAAGATTAGGAATTCCCCTTCACTTGTAAATGAGATAAAAAGAATTTTTGCTATTTATAATCATCAATTCCTCTGCCCTGAGCTCGATGTCGAAACATGATGAAACTCTACTTATCTCATGATGAAACGATTCATTGAAATTCAAGATATTATAGATCACCTTGTAAGACTTCATCCTACTTTAAAAGAAGACTATTTAGAAGTT